CCAACGGCCGACTTGCAATGATGGTCGCTTGGTAGATGTCACTTTTTTGTTTACTTTCTTGATTCATGAATGGGTTGTGGGCGGCAAAGTTCTGCGTAGTCTTTTTGCAATTGAACTGGGTTGAAGGACTAGCAGTAGTGGTGGTGGTGGTAGTAGGAGTAGCAGTAGCAGTAGCAGTAGCAGTGGTAGTAGCAGTGGTAGTAGCAGTGGTAGTCGCAGTGGTAGTAGTATGCGACCTTCCTTGCCAGGGTTGCAAAAAAAGTAGCTCAAGACATGGTTGAAAAATGATCGAAAACCACTAAACCACTGACGCTAATCGCATCTAATCGCAACTTTGTCAGAAAAAAGCCCAACAATGGCCATCCTCTGTGGAGTGCGGATTAAACTTGGATCAGGAAAGAAGTGAAATTCATCAATTCACCTTTTACGAGCGGCTTGTGGGTGTTAAGACATGACAAACTCATGATTCTTGAGCTTGCCAACACAGTGATGGAGCATCCTGATTGAGGTATATTCTGATTGACCCAGGTGCATAGTGTCATCCCGGAACAATGGAACACTGAAATTGACAACTCTGCATAACTTTGTTTTGGGGGCCAATTGCGCGTAAACGCGAGCACGCAACGCTGCTTTGCCCCAGCAGAATCAGGTTTCACGTGCATTTTAACCCACGCATGATATGGTTTTGTGCAACCCACCCCGTATGGCAAGTCAACATCACAACATTGTCATCGATGTCACAACCTTGTCATCGATGTCACAACCTTGTCATCGACACCACAACATTGTCATCGACATCACAACCCCATATATATCCATACATGATATATATATATATATATAATATGTCGTTTACGCCCAATCGGCGCATTTTTCTGGAGTATGGTTGGAAGAAAACACAGATGAGAGTTTACTCATGTGACCTTCTCACCCACCCTGCGCCAGTTGCATTGGTCCACTCCCGACTGGTTGCGCACAAAGCCGGCGGCCGAGACTCCAGCCTGACCCGAGGCGATCATCGGGATGTTCTTCCAAGACGGCCTCACCGGCTCCGCCTGGGGCGATTGGGCTCGGCCCACCCGGTGTCAGAGTGGATTGGGGGTCGTGGACGAGTGGGGTCTGTGCGTGAAGATGGAAAAGGATCGAAGAAATGCTGGTGAGCAATTGCCAGAGATCTCTGATCCAACAAAACATGCCCCCTCCAAATGTGATATGGCGATTGCGCAAAGTGCTATCTAGGGGTCAGCCCTACGGTGGCGCCAGTTTAGTGCCAAGGGGATTAAAGGAAACTTTGTTCGTTCATATCTTTGCAAAATTTACGTGCGGATTTTTTTTGCGACATCAATGGGAGTCTTCATTCTTCAAATCAGCGTGTCTTCCAGCAAGGGTTCTTGGCTGGGCAAGACGCCAGATCAACCATTATATCTGGGGTCCTATTTGCTGCTAGCTAGGGTTTGTGAGCAATCAAGCTAGAGAGGAAACAGCTAAGCCCCATGTTTCAGCACGGGAGCAGGGAGGACGATTGGGTCTTCTCAATGCTTTGAGGGGCTGAGCGGAGGGTAGAGCACTGAGGCCATTCTGATCATACTTCTTGTAGTCCTTGGAATATTGAATCTCACAGGGATGTTTCATTTTATCGATTGACCTGTTGTAGCAGATGCCACCATGGATCTCATTCGTTTGCCAAAAAGACGACTTTGGAGAGGGATCGCTCACAGCACCGCCTTGCTGATCCCTTGTTGGCAGGGAGTGTTGCCGATCCCTTCTTGCTGGACAATTTTGCTCACTGGTTGAAAGGATTTACCAGAGGTTGTGCAGAGGCATTCCACCAAAATCACTTCTCAGCACCTCTTGACGAGCGGAGCGCACTGCTCAGTCCCTCTACACCGCCTCGCCCTTGCGATGAGCGAAAGGCTGGGATTGAGAGAACAGGGCCAGACGCTGCACAGCCAGCCCAAAACACGTTCCAGTTCCTAACCCTATTCATGGGTTGACCAAAAAACCGATAGATGTTGGTTCTCACCTGTTCTTTCCGTTCTTGTGTTCTTCCAAAGTCATCCTGATTCCTCCTAAACATCCTTTTCATTCAACTCCCCCCCAAAAAATGTTGCGACATCCGTCGGAGCATGGCAACCTCGCGGGAGACTGAGGGGACCCCGACAGAGTTCGTCACCCGGTCTGACCTGAGTGTTCAGTCCAGGGGTCCACAGGGTCGCCCGTCGCAGAACAGGGCGTTTTGGGATTTGGGGGCTCGAGCGAACCCGTGTTGTTTTCGAAAGCATGGCCCCACATGGCCCCCAAAGCTTTTGGAATGGACAGGTCAAGAGGATGATGGTAGTATGTAGCTCCCCAGTTTGGGAACAAACATGAGAAAAAGGGAGCTAGCTGCTAAGCCGGCACTCTTTTGTCTTGGATTCATATCGATGTTTACAGGGCCGGCACCGGACGTGGTTTCGGTTCACTCGGAGGGGAAAGTGTTTTTTTTCCCGCCCAAGCGAACGGATCGTCGCAGGCAGCTGAAGGACTCCGCGTCTCACGATTTTCATCGATTTTCTTCGGCTGTTATGTCAAGGCCGGTCTGGCAGAGTTTCAGAACTGCTCGAGAATGGGTTCGAGTTTTGATCGCACCAACCTCCCAAAGATCCCGCGTGTGCGGGCGGTGTGGAATTTTCGTTGAAGAGTGCGAATCGATTTTCGCTATCAAAGGGACTCTGGACGGAGCAAGCCCCACAAAGACTGCCCCATCGAGGAGTCAGGTAATTAGAAATAATTTGTTTGTTCTTGTTAACATATTTGTGCACTCTTGTTGGGCAGATGTTGGATTTGGTTCGTCCAGACTCTCTTGGACATTGGCATGGGCGGGACAAAGTCGACATTGACATGAACGATGCTCAGTGGAGATGCTGTCTTCAACAGGTATGGAAGGCTGTCTTGGCCGCCTGCATGTGTCCCACCTTCTCACAAATGCGCGCTTTTGCGCATGGCTTCTCAGTGAGGCAGTCCGACTGGGCACTTTCGGAGGATGGAGGGGCGAGCAGATGGGGCGCCTGAGACCGCTTGCAACAGAGCCAGGAGGGCTCGCAGTGTGTGAAAACTCACCTCGACAGCTCGCCTCACCAGCTCGACAGATCCCATGTCAGGTGCTCGACTTGTGCAAAAAGGCAACTATTTTTGGCTCACTGAATCAGCCGTTGGCCTGTTGGCCGGGCTGTTGGCTGTTTTGAAGCTGAACGTTGCAGGGACCCAGCCCAACAGTTGTCGTTTTCTCGGGAAATCCATAGATAAGAGGGATACTGCATGGATCTGCATGGCATGTACAGGTGAAGCAGTTGCACTATAACCCTCCAACAAACATGGAAGCGGATGGCGCCCCCTGTTTGGTCTTCTGACTTGTTCTATTTTTGCATGATTGCTGGAAGGAGGGCAAACATGGTGATCCCCCGTGTCTTACCGTGAATGGACTTCACCCAATGGACTAGATGTCAACATGTCTGACGCGACCTGGTCTAAGCGATTCACACGTAGACCTACCAGAGAGCACAAGACCTACCCAGAGCCCACAGAAGCTCAGAGTGTTTCCTGCAGGTAGTAATTTAATTTGCAGTGGCCAAATTGGCTTAGCAGCCAAATCACAGGGGAGACGGATCTAAACATAGCAGCTGCATATTCATCTCGAGGCAAACTGGCATGGTCACGGTCCGGAGGAATAAGCTGTATGAAGTATGAAGCCTGAGCACAAACCTTCGACGCGCAGATTTTCGCGCCCAAACCCGCCAAAGATCCGCGAGACAGTCTGCAGACGAGAGGCTGGCGGGCTTGCGAGATGGTGAGTACGCGGATGGTTTCATTGATGGGCTGCGTCATTGGTAGTGATACATGTAGCTGCAACATTCTGCAGCTATGTTGACCCTTGTTGAAAGTGTGTTCTTCCAGATTCAATTGGCTTCCTACAAGAATTGCTACTACTTATAACTTGTCAACCATTTGGACACCTCGCTACTACCATCTCTAACCTGGTTGAGACGGACATCGGCACCGGTGTCACGGCGTCGCCGAAGGTCGATGTCGAACCGTCACCGCGGAGTCGCGTGTGGTCGGGGGGCCGAGACGTGGTCGCATGGTGCGGGGTGGTGCAAAGACGGTGTGGAAGACGGTCAGATGGTTGAAGGCGACCGCAGATCAGTTATATGGGTGTAGTGGGGTGTAGTAAGTTTAATAGAAGCCACCTCAAATTGGTATGTGATTCTTTTTTGTGCATCAAGAACATGTTGAAGTGCGTGACCTTGCCTCCAACAACACAATCCCAGTCAAAGGATGTTGTGCGACATCAACCCCGTGAAAAAACTAGATTTTTCCGGGAGACAATTTTGTTGATTCAAGTTTGTTGTTGTGGTTGCTACTTCCACTTGACCCTACAAATCAAGGTGGATGTGGGCAAACTTCATCAAGGACCCATTGTCACAGCTGCGGACCATCCCTCAAAGATGCATCGGAACTGAAGGTCTACGGTCTTCTGGTTTGTGTCGAAAACGTTTTTTCGGCGTTCTCAGAGTTGATAGTTTCTTCAAGAGTGGGAGTACCCCTGAAACCACTTCAACAGCAGTTCTGTTGCTAATTAGGATGGGGTTTGCTACCCATATCATTGATAATCACATATCACACATATCGATCATAATATGTTGAATCCGAACACTCACGCATGAAGCCCAACTCTTACAACCAACCACTGCGCTGGTTGGGAAGTGCTTCAGGGGCATCACGATGAACGAATGGGTGCACGAGTGGGCAACAGAATAGGGTGCACAAGGGGCAAACGATCGTTGCTTGCTTGATTGAGAGTTCCAGGTCCTGATGATGAGTGTCTATGTTCAGATATCTTTGATCTTTTCTGTGTATATTTATGGATGTCTATAGCATAACCATATACTGTATAAGGATGATACACTGTAGCCCACCGGATGCACTGCAAAAAAGAATAGGATGTCTCCAACTGATGCACTGTACAAACCGATGTTTCCGCCGTCTGAGACGGTCACTCCCATCACTCTTCACGTGCCAAACGCCCACCTGAGACTCGAACGATGGTCCTAAAGCCCCCTCCCATATGAAGAGTGTTTCCATTCATCGTCTAGGAAGGGGTTTTACATGTTTTTACTGTTTTACCTCATCAAAAGTCTAATTCATCTTGGCAAGAATGTCTCGTTTGCTACGCTGTTGGTGTGCTTTTCGCACCCAGCATATGGAGTGTTGAGTGAGAGGCAGCCACGAACCGACTTCAAACCCATGGACCCTGCCGCATTGACCAGATCTCTGGACCTCATACGTCAGGTATCCCAAGAACTCCCTGCGGTGTTTTTACAAAAACCAACACATATTGACTTTGAGATATATACGTCATGGAGACATACTCTGTGTTGTTTGGATTTTCTTTCAAGCATCAGACCATGGTTTGCGGCCGTTTGGAGGGTCCATGCGGTTCCAGGTGCTGCCCTCACAGGAGCCTTCCTTGCGGCCAGGGACACCCAGCTATATAGTGCTGTAATGCTATGCCCAGCCCGGTGCGGGGCCACCCCGATGTTCTAGACTGAGCAGATGATTTCGGTGCTGCATTCTAAAAGAGACACAAACAAGCAAGCAGGCAAACAAGCAAGCCAGCCAGCCAGCCAGCAAACAAACAAAAAACACATCCACAAACACACTCCCAAATTCAACCAAAGATTGAAACGCAGCCATACAACATTACACCTATATAGACGATTAGAGAGGCCTTCATACTATGTGTAGTGTGATGATGTGGCAGGTATTCAAACACAACCCCAACTGTCCTCGCTTAAAACATATGTAACGAACTTTTCGGAGAGAGATCTACAAGGATATATAATGGGTATGGCTTAATATTGAGGTGAACTGTTTGTCCTATCACCACACGACAGATTTATATAGTGTTTACTTTAGATGCATCTCTTCTGCGTGTACTTTCAACATTTCTGTACACAACCACAGGCGGAATTCTCGCTGCCATGATACTTAAGATAATGGATTGTTGGGGTCTCTTGCTCGCAGCAAAGGGTCGACGAGCACTCCCATGATTCTTCATCTGCATCACTCCAATGTCTCAGGAAAAACAACAACAACAACAACAACAACAGCAACAGCAACAGCAACAGCAACAGCAACAGCAGCAGCAGCAGCAACAGCAGCAACAGCAGCAACAGCAGCAACAGCAGCAACAACAGCAACAACAGCAACAACAGCAACAACAGCAACAACAGCAACAACAGCAACAACAGCAACAACAGCACCAACACCAACACCAACATCAACATCAACACCAACACCAACATCAACACATGCAGATGTGTCCACTGGTCGTGGGTCGACAGTGTTGCTCGTCTGACTGGTCGTCACGTGGATCACCATGGGTTTAAGCGTTTTTTTTCGGGGATTGGGGAGGTGTCCCCACCATAGACACAACAGGTGGAAAAGGTGAGCCTTTAGTCAAACGGTTCGGGAGTCAGCATGGCTCATGACCCACCCGCTGATCACTGAGGCTCCCAGTTTTCTAGCGCCCAATGGCCAGACGCCCAGCGTTCCTCGCGTGCAGGGCATCGTGTCGGGGGCCTCAGGTGCCGGGTGCAAAGATAGGCCGTGGATCACCATTCTCCAACAAAGGACTGAACATTTGGAACTGCATGTTGATGTGGTTTTAGGAATAATGTAAACATACCTCCTGAGCATTGACCCATGAAATTTGAAGAGACTTTGCCCCAGTGGGCCCCAATGACCAGTGGGTGTTATTTCTTGAGCCTCTAGGGGCTCTAGTGAAGTAACTATATATTTATATATCTAGCAAGTGTCTGTTTTTGCGACTGGCGGCCTGGGCCACAGCCAAGGGGGGTTCCGAGCAGTAGATTAAGATGGAAGATCAACATGATGTTGTTGGTGTGTTTGGTTTGTGATGTTTTGTGCCCTGATGTTGCATCCATCCTCAACTCGTTGGTTCTTTCAGGGCACATCATGCACTTTCTTTCAGCCAAGACACCCATGGGCCCACCTGTAATTGGAAAATTGATCCCAAGTTCTTCTGCATGACACATTAGAGACTGCATGTGGCTCAGTCTCTTGTTCATGTGTTTGGTGACTCAAACATTCCGTCGCTGGGCGTCTTTGAATCCAGTCTCACGACTCGGTACTTGATTCCTGCAGGCGGCTAAGCCTGCAGGAAGGACTCATGGGTGGTCAACGTATTTCCCTATCTCCTGACTCATGGGATCGCCACTTAAACTCAACGGTTGGGCGATAAGGACACGCCCTGCCATCGAAGATTCGACCAACCAGCAGAAAAGGCCCAGAAAACTATTTCTGTGGAAGAAGTACTACAGACCAACGGCAGCAGACCTTCCAACTTCTCCATGTTTTCCTCTTCGCTCCTAAGGTCTTACCAAGCTCAGGGAAGAAGTCCAGGATCCGCCCAAGCCTCAGACGCTGATAGTATGAGTGGATGTGGTGCTGGGGAGAATGCATGAGAACGGTGCCCTAGAGTTTTGCCTGTACCCACATGTATGAGTTATGTACCATCTCATACCATGTCATACCATGTCCTTCGATTATATGAGACCAAAATGGGAGGAAATGGCAGGAAACAGTGTAGGTTGGGTTTAGAACCACTTGCGAGAGGCCTAATTTGATGTTGCCTTCTAAATACCAATGTATAAAAGCTGCGCGGTCTGAAGCGCATCCAGCAGTTCCCTGTCTTGGCACATCTTCGCCTGAGAATTTGGGTCTTGGGATTGCCAGGCAGGACATCCGGCAGACAGGACAGTTTTCAGCATCGGATTTGGGGAGCCATCGAAACACATGCACTGCATAGGGACGTTCGGACACTCGGCCGACGGGATCGACCCTTTGGGCACGACCCTCGTGGCAGGCTATTCCGGGCCTGGCGGTGGCGGGTGTGGCCACCAGTGCATTGGCACCTTGCCTGAAACAACCCACGCAAGGCCCACACGCGCGGGCGTGCAAACGCGGGCGTTTGGGGCGTGAAAACGCCCGGCCCATAGGGGCGAGAGCGGGAAGAGACGTTGGGTTGTGGTGAGTGCAGTGCAACAATTCCCAATGGCATTTCGCGGAACAAAGAGCTCGTGACGGGGGTGAAGCATCAGAATTGGGTCCCTTTGGGATCTTTATGAGCCTTTGACATCGGCTTCTGGCCAATGTCAATAATGTGATTGATCAATCTTGAATAACACCGAAGAGGTTGTAAAATCCAATGAAGGAATGGAATTCATCAAGAGTCTACAGCATGTTACGGCTACGACATGCTACGACATGTGACGACCTTCCAGTCTACCTGGACCTTTCCTGAAACAAGGTTCTGCTGAACGCAATATATAATATATTGTCTTTTTTGAGTGAAAGCAATCCAGGATGTCAGGTGGTTGTCCGCCAACAGGAATGCAGCCTTTGTGGTACAACCTTTTATATCGCTGGTTGACTTACGCAACCTATCAAAAAGACAACTACTTTTCACGATTTGACAATTCTTTGTTAACAATCACCTTGTGAAGCTTTTGGCAGGGTTTTGTGCCTGTCACCGCATGTCAAGATTTCGGACACAACTCACTTGCTCATCATTTTAATCATGCATAATCATACCAAAGGACCACCCTGCAACCCCCTCCTTCTGAAGCACAGCTCAGGCAGCTCTCAAGGCAGGCGTTGGACCTCGGCTTCGTCTCGTGTCCTTCATTGTTGGACTTGTCAGTCTCCGATGAGTTGGGTCCTTGCAAGATGGGGGTCACTTCCCCTTTTCGGAGAGCCGTCCTGGCCGACGGCGCATTTGGCTGGCTAGAATGTGGTGGCTTTTGATTTATTCTTCTTAAGCCAGGGGCCAGACCCCATGTTGAGGGAACATCGGCTGGCTCATTTTTCTAATCAGGGGATATTAAGCCAGGAGGCCATTTCGGGGGCGGAGCGTCTCCGATTCATGGCTCTTCTCCGAGATGGGCCGCCCCAAATCCCGGATATCCCTTGGTCCTTTGCTCCGATAGGCCGGGACTTTTGGAGTTGGAGCTGAACTGAAAGTCGTGGGAGGGGCGTATTCATCCATGTGGTGCGAACGAGAATATGATGTGATCTGTGGTGCTTCTTGTACAGTTGCAGACTGTCGTCATTGGGCCTTTCTTTTGGTCTGGTCACGAAAACACTCATGTTGATGGGACGCAGGACCAGACGACAGAAGCACATCCTGGATCTAGTGTTCAAGACTGAAACGGCCCAAAGTACCCCAAAGTCGCTCAGCTCAAATACATCGAAAGACGAAGAATGGCTCTCCTCCAAAGGCACTTCGTTGATCGCTCCCATCAAGAATCTATACGTAGTCTTCCATGAAGCTGCTGGAGCGGACCTTGACTCCCGCTGCAGTCTGTGACATGCAAGTCTACGTCACGTCATCAGAGCCTTTGGACCACTGGGGAGTAGACATGATCCACATCTGATCCAAGAGCTCTGTCAGATATGGATCATGTGGAAGCTTCCAAGAGGATCGATGTGGAAGACTTTGGACTCGAAGCTTCCAAGAGCTCTCGAACTGCGCTGCGGACAGCGCCGGGGACCGCGCCGCTCCGTCACAACGCTCCACGAACGGAACGGCCCTGGTAGGTTGGCAAGACCACTTCGAAGGTGCCCGAAGAACGCGGGACACATGCGATGTTCGGAGCAATGGTTTTTTTCTCGGAGTGACAGACCTCCAGGATGCAGAAAAAGGGGTGCCTTCAAATCCTCAAAACGACTTCATTGCTTTTGTGGATTTGAAGGGCCTCTCTCTGAAAACGCAATGTTTTCCAGATGTTGGGCGCAAGAAATGCCCACATGTTGGTGTTGGTTGTTTCCAAGTATCACCGGTAACAAGGGTAGGCCAAGCACCTATCGACAGTTCACCCCACTCACGTTGGGTGTCATATGGAGACCTTTTCCAGGAAGGGCTTGCTGACTGACCAGTCCAGGCTTGAGAAAACGCTCTGTGTAGTTGGCTCACAAGGATTGCCAAGATCCACAATGAATTGAACAATAGGAGACAACGGGCCCACAAAAAGGACATTTACTCTTATTTGATCAATGACCCTGACTGAGCACTAAGTCGGAGGGGCCACGTGTGTTCTTTTGCTGGCAAAGCGCCCCCTCACCCGTGCATAGGTTGGTGCCTTGAATGCTGGTTGTTTGTGGTTTTCTTCAAGAACAAAGCTATCTCCAATCCTTAAGTTTGATTATCTTTGATTCAGGTGTCTGGAACTTGTAGCCAGGTTGATTCCTTGTTTGTTTTCTCCGTCAAACATCCGCAATCTTTGGGTGGTTTGTGGACCTCCCTCTCAGTCTTGCTCTTCAGAATATATAATCATCTATATATGAATAACTTAAATTAGAATTAGATTCCGGGTCTCACTAGCTTCTCAGGGCTTTGTCATTCATCCCTGGCCATGCTTTGCGCATAACATAGATACATAGATGATGTTGGGTTTTTGATCATCATTACCGACCTTCAGCTTTCGCCCACCTTCGGGCCAGACCAGCCGCCACTTCTTTGGCGGCACTAGCCCTGCGACCTTCGATCCCGCCACACAGCTGGGTGTGCAGGTGGGACCGGTCACGACCAACCGATGTGGCGGGACCAGAGGAGGCCACGAATTCATCAAGGAGGTTCCTATTTGCCCCGCACGGAAGGCGAACAAGGGGGAGCCTTTGGGACCTTCTTAGGCCGGCCTTGGGTGCGAGGCCTTCCTTTGATCTACTCAGACGCTCATGGGCTCATATGGAGGGGTCGGACCCTCATATGGAGGGGTCTGGGGTCTCAAATCCCTAGGTTTTGAGGGACCAAGGGCTGTTTGGAGCGTCTGGGTAGGTCCACATCTTCTTCACAGTATTCTTCCCAGTCTGACGAGCATCTTCCCTGAATCCACGCATGCGTCCCACTGGCGCAAAACAAAACGCATCACTTCGACCTTTCAACGGATCAAACCAATTCAATTGGCTGTCAGGAACCCATCGGTTTCTGGGATCCCTTGGGCCTACTATGATCCACTTCGTCGCACACACACCGGAGGCGAGAGAGCGAAGT